TATGTGTGTGTGTGTGTGTGTGTGTGTGTGTGTGTGTGTGTGTGTGTGTGTGTGTGTGTGTGTACAGTTTAAATAATGTTGTTCCTGATAGCAGGTAGTGTTTGTTCGGCACAATAATGAGGAAAGATGCTGTTGAAACACACTGTGATATTCAGTCCATGCTGTGTGTGTGTGTGTGTGTGTGTGTGTGTGCGTGCGTGCGTGCGTGTGGACCCAGACCATCCTGAACTCCATGCACAAGTACCAGCCCAGGTTCCACATAGTCCGAGCCAACGACATCCTGAAGCTCCCCTACAGCACCTTCAGGACCTACGTGTTCCCGGAGACAGAGTTCGTGGCTGTGACTGCATACCAGAACGACAAGGTGAGTCCTCTCTGTCCAACATGGCTGCTGTGCACGATGACCATCCTGCCCCCCACCCCCAAGACTTAATCTGATTTTGTAGGTTGCTTAATTTCCTTGCCGAGGGAAATTAGGCAACGCATTTTCCTCCTGCTTTTTACTGTGAGCTCAGACAGGTATGTGCACGTGCTGAAATGATGTGCGTGTTGCTGCGTCAAGAAGAACTTTTTGTTTTTATAATCAGTGATTCAGAATAAATTCAGATGTTGGAAAAATAAACCCGACATATTCCACTTCAGATTTCTAATGTTTATTTGACGAAGCCGGGTTGCCAGATAAGAAATAATGAACTATGGTACTGTGGATTTAAAATGATAGTACTTTCACCTATATGTGCTGAGTAAAGATATTCTGTGAGGTGTGTGTTGTGTCTGTTGAACATGTGCACAGACAAAGGGGGGATAAATAAGACAGTTTAAATTTATCTGGCAACCCAGAACATTCCTCGCGCACGCAGCCTCTGCATGATCACGAAGACGCACTGCTCTGCCATTTATGTTGTTAGAGCAGAAAACTTTGGAGTGCAGCCGCCTGGAGTGCGCACGTGCCACTTACCTGTCCCCTCCGAGCCTGGCTCCAGAAACCTTCAGGGCTGTTTGTGTCCTGAGCCGCAGCAGGAAAGCTGCGCGTTCACGGCTGTGATGTGGGGTCGTGCAACATGAAACCGCATTATTAATTATTGATCAGTAGTCATCTGTTCCATGCGTCCCGTCTTCTGTGTCCCGGGACACGCGCTCCTGTGGCCCCAGACAGCAGGACTTCTCAGCAGCATGTCTCTCCAGGGGCCCTTTTTACGTCGTCCTTAATGATGCAAGTCCGACGTAAGCGCGCGCGCGAGCTGCACGCGCGTGTTACTTGTGACACGTTTTGTGTGAGCTGCGTTCTGAACTGGACCTCCGTGTTCCGACAGATCACGCAGCTGAAGATCGACAACAACCCGTTCGCCAAAGGATTCAGAGACACCGGAAACGGCCGCAGGGAGAAAAGGTAGAGCTGCACGTGCGCGCGTCGCTCATCACCATCATTATAATTCTTGTTGTTGTTATTGTTGTTGTTGTTGTTGTGTGCAGGAAGCAGCTGAGCATGCCGTCGCTGCGGATGTTCGAGGACCAGGCCAAGGCGGACCGGGACGGCGCGGACTCGGACGCCTCCTCCAGCGAGCCTCCGGCCGGCAGGGACGCGCTGCACTCCCCGCTGGACGCGGGTTCGAGCCCGCTGAGGTTCAGCAGGCCCAGCCGAGGTGGGCAACTGGGGGGGGGGGGGGGGGGTAATCATGGTCTCGGATGCGGGTCAAATGAGGGTGGAGGCAGGTGTGGGTGCTTCACCTTTCCCACCCACATTTTGATGTTGTCAGTTCAGGGAGTTGAGCTGGAAACCTTCCAATCACAGGCCCACCCTCTCTAACCTCTGCACCACCACCCCCCAATAATAATAATAATAATAATACAATAATTATAAAAAAATAATAATAACATGTCCTGATGCATGCTCAATAATAACAACAATTATTATTATTATTATCATTATTATTACTATTATTATTATTATTATTATTATTATATAATACCTTTGATGCATTCACAGGACAAAGGCAGATTTAGAAAACATTTTTATTTAAAGTTAAAATGTTTGGGCTCACCAAGTGTTTTTATATAAAATAAATGTAAACACATTCTGTTTTTATTAAATGATGATTTTATTGTTTCACAATGTTTTTCATATTTTAGAAGAGAAAACGGACAGTGAGCAGGAGCTGGAGCCCCCTGATGGTTCCAGCAGCCCCAGGACGGAGCCCGTGTCCCCCTACAGTTCCAGGTGTGAGGAGCGGGCGAGGGACCGGCCCCCCGGGGAGAAGGACGACGCCATCTTCTGTATAAAGAGCTCAGAGAAGGACAAAGTGGAGAGCAGGCACAGGAAAGACACCACAGACCTGTTGACGAAGAAGTCGGATGCTGCTGGTGCCTCTAAAGAATCCTTCTCCCCCCTGGTGGTCCAAACCGAGAGCCCCCCTCACTTCAGCCCCGGTCACTTACAGAGCTTGGCTCTGTCGGGCCTGCACAGTCAGCAGTTCTTTAGTCCTCTAAACGCTGGATCGCCACTTTTGTTCCACCCAGGACAGTTCGCCGTGGCCCCCGGAGCCTTTTCTGCCATGGGCATGGGGCACCTGCTGGCCTCGGTGTCAGGAGCCGGGGGGTTGGAGAACGGGAGCCTGTCGGCCCAGGGTGCAGGAGGAAGTCCCGGCCCCTTCCCCTTCCATCTCTCTCAGCACATGCTCGCCTCCCAGGTGAGCGCACGGCGTCGGTCGTGACTGCTGCAGTAAAACTGACACAAACAGTGATGACATCATCTGTCAGCAGGTTTTGCTCAGACTGTTTGTTTCTGTCCTTACTGCCATCATGTGCCATTCCATTTTATTTGTGGCTGCACATTTCCTCTGTCATTCTGAATGTAAACACTCCTCTTCCATGTTGCAGGGCATCCCCATGCCTACGTTTGGGGGTCTTTTCCCGTACCCCTACACGTACATGGCAGCTGCAGCCGCTGCAGCCTCGGCTCTCCCTGCGAGCAGCACCTCCAGGAATCCCTTCCTGGGCTCGTCCCGGCCCCGCCTGCGCTTCAACCCCTACCAGCTGCCCGTGTCTCTGCCTCAGAGCTCCGGCCTGCTCAGCACCAGCCTGCCCGGGGGCCTCAACCTGAGCTCAGAGGCCTCCAAACCCGGCAGCAGGGAGAGCAGCCCGGCCCCAGAGCACCGCCCCAAGACGGGGGGAGCGAGCGAACACGCTGCGTCTCCCAAAACCTCCATGAAGGACTCTGTGAACGAGCTGCAGAGCATCCAGAGACTGGTGAGCGGCCTGGAGGGCCACAGGGAGCCCCCCTCAGGTGCAGATTCTCCCAAGTGATCAGGATGTGGACCTGGCTTCAAGACCAGGGGACTGTAGGTGCAAATGTCCTAACTGGGGGGGCGGGGTGTTTTGGCCAATGAGTGTCAAAAAGACGATTCCACACTCTGAGCAAAGCTGCAGGTAGACAGAACTGTGCGAGTGTGTGAAAGACCCACGTTTCCTGCAGAGCTCTGCAGCAGCGACGCTTCGGTTCATTTACTGAGGTCAAATTAGAACAAGTCCAAATGTGCAAAACATAAATAAACAGGTAAACAACAAAACAATAAATATGTGTAAAAGATATTTGATGTAAAAAATCCAACCACTTGAGTTCAAGTATGTGAAATAGTTAAACGACACTAAACAAATTAAATTTATCAGATGGTAGGGGTGAACCACAAGGAGCCTGCTGGGGCCCCTCTGCTTTGTTTGAGCATCCGACCCTGTTTTGTTTTGTTTAGTTTTATTTTATTATATTTTATTTTATATGAAGCCGAGCCTTGAACAGGAGCCGACAGGTCTGATTATTTCAAAAAGGGACAGAAGGTGAAAACTGCAAGAACAGACTTTTTTCATTTCATGCCAGAAATATTCTTTTATTTATGTAATTGAAATGTTCTGTAAATAAAGCTAAGATGAAGAATATGCAATTGGTATTAATTTATTCTAAACTGTACATTAGCATGTAAATATATATTTTAAAATAGTTTTTTTTGTCCCCGCCCCGACAACCCCCCATGTTTCACAAAACAAACTGTACAACGACACCAGTTGGCTCTTGTGGCTGATTTTTTATTTTTAGGAGACGAGTGGAGAAAAAGTTCAGCTCAGGTCATTTTAGTGCAGAGCCGTTAGAAACGTGTTTAAAGATGGAGTGTTCTGTTTGTACGAGTGTTTTCTTTTCTGCAGGGGGGGTCGTCACATTTTCAATAAAAAAGGTTGTGTTCAGAGCTTCTTTGTTTTAATCATTATTATTTAGAATCAGAGCGCAGCACGACTTCACAGACAAACTTGGAGTCAGTGATTCAGCAAAAAATCAACATGCAGAAAAACTGCTCCATGCATTTGTCACGTCTAGACTGGACTATTGCAATGGTTTATTATCTGGGTGTCCAAATACTTCTTTAAAACGTCTTCAGTTGATCCAAAATGCTGCTGCCAGAGTCTTAACTGGAGTTACTGGGAGAGATCATATCTCTCCAGTTTTAGCTTCTCTCCATTGGCTCCCTGTCAAATCCAGAATAGAATTCAAAATCTTACTTCTAACCTACAAAGCTCTCAACAACCTAGCTCCATCTTATATTACAGATCTTATTGTTCCATATTTTCCTAACAGAGCGCTTCACTCTCAGACTGCAGGTTTACTTGTGGTTCCTAGAGTTTCCAGCAGCAGAATGGGAGGAAGATCTTTCAGTTCTCAGGCTCCTCTCTTGTGGAACCAACTTCTAGTTTCTGTCCATGAGACTGACACATTGTCCAGTTTGAAGACTGGGATTAAGTCTTTCCTTTTTCATAAATCCTATAGTTAGGGTTGGCTTGTTATGCTGCTATAGACTTAGACTACTAGAGGACAAATTGACCTCATGTCCTTCAATGAATTGTTAAAATTGAATAGTTTTCATTTGATACTATTTATATCGGAACATGTGATTCTTGACCTGCCATTGTGTATCTGTTCCTACCAAACCCAGCCGGTGGAAGCAGATGGTCCTCTTGTCCTGATCCTGGTTCTGCTAAAGGTTTCTTCCTCATGAGGGAGTTTTTCTTTCCACTGTCGCCTTCATGCTTGTTCAAGATGAGAGTTCAGTGATGGAGTTAAACTCAAAGCTGCTCCTCAGATAAATAAAGTTAAATTATTATTTTATACATGAATGTTTCTGTTCAGTCCCTGAGACGACTTGTGTTGTGACTTGGAGTTTTAGAAATAAACTGAACTGAATTGTATAAATAAAGGTTGAATGAATGAATGAATTGATTTGACTCACGCCCAGGAGCGCCCTCTGCTGGTCACGTGCTGTGTCTACACGTGGTTTGATGCATTCAAGAAAAGAAATGTGCACTGACTTTCATTCATTCAGTCTTTATTTCTACAGGTTAGTCTCATTGAGCCTCGAGGACTCATTTAAACAGAGACCTGATTTAAACAAAGAACACAGACGAGGTACAGACGATCATAAAAAGCATATAAAATGAAAAGTACATGTTTGCATATTAGAAGGCTGGAAATGGCTGCACTGACAGTGTTTATGATCTGTCTGTGTGAAATATGAAATGATAATATCAAAGTTGTGTTGGATCGTCATGTGTGTGACCGGAGCCATCTCGGGCTCTTGGGGTCCACTTCCAGCCTGTTTTGGTTCCTGGCACTCAGCGTTTCCTGTCGTATTGTGTGCTGAGGGTATTTTTAGATCCAGTCTGGTATAATGTCAGTATTTATAGGAAGTTCTCACACATCCTGCAACCAGAGAGTCAGTCCCAGTGTCGTCATGTGAGACCATGAATGTGACGCGTCCACATGAACTTATGAGAGTTTCAATTGACAGAAACTTTGTTTCATTAAGTTTTGCTCTCTTGTGGGCTCCGTCTTGTTCCTGCGACGGTGTGTGTGTGTGTGTGTGTGTGTGTGGGGGGGGGGTGTTGAAGCAGACATCCTTTTGTCCGGGACCCGGCGCCTGTCGTCTGCCTGCCGGCCTCAGCCTCCACACCGCCCGGTTTCCTAATTAGAGAACCCCCCCCTCCTCCTTCCCCCTCCCCTCTTATTCTTTGCTTTTTCTTTCTGAGGCGACAAACTCTCCGTCTATCACGGAGGCCTTTGTTGTCGCTCTGTTATCTCCAATTAACAGCTCGGCCTCACGCTCCACTGTTTGTCCAAATCAATCAGTCGATGAGTAATCAATGGGCCCCCGTGGAGGCCCCGTGGATCAGAACTAATGACGACTGACGGCGTGGGGTAAAAAGGCCAAGACTGTTCCCAAACTGCTTCAGTGACCAGCAGGAACTGCCAGGGAACAACAGAGGAACCTGAAGGACACAAGGAGACACGATCACATGCATCATATTCATACATCATCATGTGCAGCAGAGCTGCCATCTAGGACGCCCAGGGGAGCAGATGGTGGGGGTTAAGGCCTTGCTCAAGGGCCCAGAGCGGGGCAGATGAGGGTGGAGGCAGGTGTGGCTGCTTCACCTTTTCCACCCACATTGTGATGTTGTCGGTACCCGGAGTTGAACCAGCGATCTTCTGATCACAGACCCACCTTCTCTAACCTCTGCGTCACCACTCCCCTACAGTCAAATAATAATAAACCATATTTTTATTATTAATATTGTTGTTGCTGTTGTTAAAATATTAATAATAATAACAACAACATTATTAATAATAATGGGGCCGAGATGTGGTAGAGGCAGAGCAGCCGTCTCAGGAGCCACAAGCCTCAGGCTCGATCTCCAGCCATGCCCACATGTTGTGGTGTCTCTGAGCAACACGCCCAATCCCCAATTGCTTCCCGGGCACCCACATAGCTGCCCACTGCTCCACCATGTACGATGGGTTAAATGCAGACAACTAATGTCCTCACTGGACAGGAACATACAACGAGGACTACACAGACAGTCACACTTTATTATTTACTTTTTATTTATTAGCACATTACATTTTTCAAATTGGCGTATTGTTTTTATGCTACTAGTGCTTAATGTGTTTTTAGTTATTGTTTTTATTTGTTCATATCTTAGATCTTATTACTGTTTTACATTTTATACTTTTGTTGGATGTAACTGGAACCCTGTTTACATAATTTCATTCCACCACATGTGATGTGTACGACAATAAAGAACCTTGAATCTTTGAATCCATGAATTATAATAATAATAATTGTCATTATTATAGAATATCAATAATAATATTATTAATAATAATAATAATAATAATAATTATTATTATTAGCATTTTATAATAATAATAATAATTATTATTATATTATTATTATAGATTATTATTATATTAGAATATCATATTATAGAATATAATAATAATTATTATTGCTTCTGGACAAATATTAAGATATTAAGGCATTAATGTTATTATTATTAGTAGTAGTAGTAATATTGCTTCAGGACAAATGTAAGACAATATTAATTTTATATTTGAATTATTTGATTTGAATTATCATTATAAGAAAAGGTGGAAAAGAAGACGAAGAAGCAAAAAATAGATGAACGCCGTAAAATCAGTTTTTATTATAATAATAATAATAATAAAAATATTAATAATAGTACTTTATTTTAAAAGCCTGTAACAAATGATGTACAGTACAAATAAAATCAAGAACATTTAAGCTCTTTAAATTAAAAAACTGTTAAAACATTAAGATCAATAAAAGCAGTAATATAATAACTACCAATAAATAATGTGTGTTTAAATCCATTAACATGTTCTAATACTTGTTTACTAAATTTTCATTTGAATTCACTTAAAATATGAAACTAGAGTTAATTGAGATTTTTAATAACCTCCATAAATGAACAATTTAATAAATTACATTAATCTGTTTCAACGAACTGTATCAAACGTTTTATTAGTTTTTATTCCAGGTAAACAGAACATAATAATCTCACAGATTATTGTGAGCAGCCCATCATTTTCTTCTGTCTGAATTGTTTTATTGTCCCATAATTCAACATAACATAAGAATAAGTTTAGTTTAGTTGCATCAGCTAGAGCTGAAAAGGTGTGGACCAGGCCTGGGACTCTGCTGCCTTCAAGGACAGCGTGCTGATTGGCTGCTGCGTTCAGGTGCATGCAGGACAGGACACTTGCTCCAGTCACAGACAGGAGGAGGAGAAAACATTCACCAGGACACTGGGAGTTCATTTCTTCTAGTCCAACTAACTCAGAAACCACAGCAGAAAACACAAATAGTTAAAAAGCAGAAAAGTTAAAACAACAAATGATTTAAGTCGGAGCAGAAAATCAGAAGCTGCACTGATCGAACCAAGGACTGCACAGACTGGTCGCATGAGCAGCAGTCAGCACGGTCGTGCACTTTGAACACTTGGACAACTGCAGCAGTTTGTGCTTCTTTTATTCTGCAGAACGTGAGGCGCGTGCACGCGCACTGCCCCCTGCTGGACGCACAGGAAGGAAATCACGGTCTTCAATGTGAAGAAGCATTTCAAGGATTCAAGATTCTTTATTTGTCATTTTCATCTCATGTGGTACATGTGGTGGAACGAAACTGTGTACACAGGGTCCCAGGCACATCCGACAAAAGTATAAATTGTAAAGAAAAACTGTAATAAGATCTAAGACGTGAACTAAGAATAGTAGCATAAAAACAGTAACAACAATGCACTGAACAGCAGCACGAACATGAGTCTGTGTGAGCAGATGAGTATGAATGAACACAGCAGCATGAAATAGATCAGCAGCATGAAATAGATCAGCAGCATGAAATAGATCAGCAGCATGATGAGATTTTTTCACAGTAGTTTTATAGCATTTTTTATATAACAGTAACCTTTAATTTTCTTTACTCCAGACTTGAGTTGTTTAGTTTGTGTTGGTGTTTTCCCTTAAATTCCTTTAACAACAACAACAACAACAACAACAACAACAACAACAACAACAACAATAATAAAATAATAATAATAATAAACAGGCAGCACGGTGGTGCAACTGGTAGAGCTGCTGCCTCTCAGCGAGCAGGTCCCTGGTTCAAACCCCGGTCCAGGGGCCTTTCTGGGTGGAGTTTGCATGTTCTCTCCGTGCATGCGTGGGTTTTCTCCAGGTACTCCAGTTTCCTCCCACAGACCAAAAACATGCATGTTAGGCTGATTGGTAACTCTAAATTGTCCCTAGGTGAGAGTGAGAGAGTGAATGGTTGTTTGTCTCGTTTGTCTCTATGTGTCCCTGTGATGGACTGGAGACC